CTATTTTGAGATAGAAAAGATTATGCTGATGATCACAGTTCATAAATTCAGAAAAAAACTCTTTCAATGTAATATGCTCAATAACATTCTCAGAGAAAAAACAAAAATCCCTTTACTTTGGGATACAGGATCCTTTCCTCTATCATTCCTATGTGATAAACAAATCAGAATTAATGGAAATAAGAATATAAACATCAACATAAGATTGGTCAGTGTATTCCTTTGGTAAATAAATCAGTATTACAATGCACCACCACCAGTCTGAAAAAAGAAGATATGAACATCGGCCTGAACTAGTCAGGGAAGGTCATGAGGTCACTATTTTTTTTTTTTTTTGAGATTTTACCATTCATACATACGAAAACTAACAGATCAGATATAGGGATTAGATACTAAAAAATACCTCCTTATAGATGTGGCAGTACAGTCAAATATAATAATAATAATAATAATAATAATAATAATAATAATAATTACATTCCATATACTAAGAAAAGTGCTGTTGATTAAATCACAAATCTCCTAAGGGCCTAATGACCATAGTTTGGACCCGGCTATACATGATACAAAGCAGAAACATAACATACACAAATAATAATAATAATAATAATAATAATAATAATAATAATAATAATAGTCATATGAAACCAGATATAGTAATTACTACAAAGAATGCTTTTCAAAATGTCATAACATAATGATAAAACATATCTCTTACAGAACATGACAAAATAAGTAAATATAAGAAATGGATAGAAATTGAAAAATGTGGCACTTTAAAACTACTGTTATAACAGTAATATTTGGATACCTGTAATATTTGGATACCTGTAATATTTGGATACCTGAGTACGATAAAAAAAAAGGAACAGACAAGTAGATAATAAAGATATCTTGTAGCCTCAGTTTTCAAGATATTAAAAAATGAACTGTGTATAACTGCTGATCGACAATTATTAATGTAAAGAAAATTTAAATAACATATTAAGTATGACAGCAAGGAAAGTTGGCTCCCTGTGCCGCGCCAGGAAAATTTTCTCGCAGGAGTCGATCCTTCAAATCTACAAATCAACCATTCGCCCTTGCATGGAATATTGCTGCCATGTATGGTCTGGAACCCCTTCTGTTTTTTTCAAGGTCCTTGATAAAATCCAGAGACGGATATGCAATATAATTAGCCCTGATCTGGTATCGCGTCTGCAGTCGCTTTCTCACAGACGTGCCGTCGCCTCCCTCTGTCTTTTTTTTTTTTTTACAAATACTTTCATGGTAACTGCTCCGATGAGATGCTTTCACTGGTTCCCAGACTTCATGAATTTAAGCATTCAACTAGGCTGACATCTCGCGCACTCCCATTCACTGTCGAAACTGTTAAATGTAGCCGTTTCTTCTACTCCATTAGCTTCATGTCTCGCACTTCTCGCCTGTGAAACTCCCTCCCCATTTCTTGGTTCCCTGATAGCTATAATCTCCAACTATTCAAATGTAATGTCAATCGACGTCTCCAGATGCCTTGATCTATCCCCTATCCTTCCCTTCATTCTTTCCTCTATCACTCCTATCTGCTCTTGCTCCAACTCTCTGTAACCCCTTGCGTGCTAGTGGCTTCCCGCCTTGCTTGGGATGAAAAAAAGAAAACAAAAAAAAAAACTAACATCAGACTTTGTGCAAACCGAATGCATATGATTACTGCATTGTCTAACCTTAGGAATATTTATGGACTAACGCTAAAACTTAAATTCTATGGTAGCATCTAAATAGGCATTTATAAAATGGATTTTCTTGTCCCGATGAGCAATTGAGCAATTACGAAACTCTGAGTTGATCTTCGATAAGTATTGAACGGTTTTATTTCTAATTTTATGATAATTATCAGTCTATTTTTTATTGAACATTTTCTTAGTAGAAATTCTACTATATTTGATAAACGTTAAATTATAGAATTTTCACATATTATTTGCTAGCATTAATAACTAGTATTTTAATTTAATTTTGCTATGTTTATATATGTGTGTGTGTGTGTGTGTGTGTTTATTGTATGTGTATGTGTGTGTGTATATGTGTGTGTGTGTGTGTGAAAGTTCTCAGAATATATCTTTAAGAAAAGACAAATTGAATAAAATAGTCATTAGGAAAATAGTACTTAGTTTTTACCAACGCGTTTCATCATAAACAAATCGAAATGTTGTATAGTTAGTCGAAATTCAAAAATGCTACAAGACACTACTGTGATAGTTTCTTTTCGGATATTAGTGACTTCTTTTTCTTTCTTTTTTTTTTAAACTGTTTTCCTCTTGTCTATTGTTTATTTTATTCAGTTTTTCTGTTTTCTACAGATATATTCTAAGAACATTCACACATTGTCGACATGGAAAGCAAAAACACACACTTTAGTTAAAAAAAAAAGTTACTAATATCCAAAAAGAAACTTTCGCATGAGTATCTTTTAAAATGTTTGTATCTCAAATAACTATACAACATTTCGCTTATATTTATCATCACTTGCCTTGATAAAGTCGGATGACGAATCGAGTCAGCAAAAACTAAGTACCGTTTTTCTATTGTCTATTTTATTCATATATATATATATATATATATATATATATATATATGTATTATTCATATATATATATTATATATATTTATGTATATATATATTTTATATAATGATATATATTTATTTATTTTATTCATATATATATATATATATATATATATATATATATATATTTATATATATTTTATATATATCCCTCTATATATATTTATTTTATTCTATATATATATATTATATATATTTATATATATATATTTTATATATCTATATATATATATATTTATTTTATTCATATATATATATATATATATATATATATATATATGTGTGTGTGTGTGTGTGTGTGTGTGTATAACAAAAACATAGTTTCCAAGAGTTAGTCTCTACGTAATTACTCAGAGCTATTTATTCAGTCATTCTCCCATTAATTCCATCGTGTAGAAAATTCTGAAACCTGACCGCTCAGCAAAAATTCATCGGAATATAAAATTCTTGTGCAGCCAACATATGGGTCAATTCAGCTACAGTCGATTTTTATTGATCCGCATCAGGGCCCAGCTGAAAATTAGCGCGGCCGTCGCTGTCGTCGACCTGCAGGGCCTCCTACACTCTGCCTCTCCACAGTATTGAATTTCATTAAAATCTCCAGCCAAGCCAGACAATGCTGTTGCTCACAACACCCTATTGAATGAGCTGGATGAAGCGGAAGGCGGAGGATGAAGAAAAAAGACTGAATCGGAGGAGGACTAGTTGGAGAAACTGACAGAAAGTGCGCAAAAACCAAGTATGGAGTTGTTTCATTTTTACGACACTATCAACATCTCGGGAAGCAGCTATAGCATGAACAACAGCAAATAATAATAATAATAATAATAATAATAATAATAATAATAATAAATGGAAATCTCAAAAATGTGTCACATGAGGACATCAATAATTTCAATTGTAGTTGGAGCCCCCGGATTGATTGGAAAACGTTCTGACAGACTCATTGAAGGGATACCTGTTAGCTCATGCCTTAAAGAAATACAAAATATTGTACTCACAAGTACTGTTCACACCTTACGAAGTGATTTATCTATGTAAAATGTTTGTGATCATAGTTTTTTTTTGTTTTTGTTTTTATAAAAATGTTCAATGATTTCTGACCTTTAGGTCTCTGGTTGGGACCTGAAAGGAAATGAATACACAACAGAAATCTATGGAAATCATAATCATCATCATCATCATAATACATATACTTATTTAATAGTTACTAAATCAATAATATTACAGCTAAATAAACACATTTGGTTGTGGTGCGTGTACCTAGTATAATCTTATCAGATGTATTAAATAATAATAATAATATTAATAATAATAATGATAATAATAATAATGATGATAATAAGGATTTGTAATGATAATAATAATGATAATGAGGATGATGAGGATGATAATAATAATGATTTATAATGTTAATAATAATAATAATGATGATAATAATAATGATTTATAATGATAATAATAATGATAATGATGATGATGATAATAATAATGATTTATATTGATAATAATAATGATGATAATAATAATAATGATTTATAATGATAATAATAATGGTTTATAATTATGATGATGATGATGATGATAATAATAATAATAATTGTTTATCATTATTGGCGCAATTGGAATAGCTACCCCAAAAGCTTGCAAAACGTTTAGAAAAATTAGAAATCATAGGAAGAATTAAAAACATCCGAACAAAAGCATTTATTAAAATTCTTTCGAATGCTGAAGAAATTGCTAAATTTTTGACCACCTGATCTCCATTTTAAGCCGTCATATACGTGCGGTGAAAGAACTCAATGCAAACAGCATGGTCATATTGCGTTATATCACTGAAGTGGCTTGCTGTCACTTGATCTACAGTGGAAGTCGCTGGACAATATTACACAATAATAATAATATTAATAAAAATGATCATAAGTAATCTCTGTAATTATTCTTAATTCTAAGCGTAAAAAATCAGTTTCATTTTAACAAAAAATACGTAATTTAAGTAATTTTTTAAAAAATTAAATAAATACGCAATCATATAATATTGGTTTCATTCCCTTTCTCGGCCGCGTAACGTGCTTCCATGTGCTTTTTCTATAAATACTTTCATGGTAATTGTTCTGATGAACTTTCCTTTATGATACGTAAACTTTATGAATTTAAGTACAGTACTAGATTGCCAGTTAGGTCTCACCATTTACAGTTGAAATGGCTGCTAGATGTAACCGCATGTTCGATGCGTACAGTTTCTTCTCTTGAAGTTCTGTCTTGTGGAATTCTCTTCCAGCCTCTTGCTTTCCAGTCAAATTTGATCTTTAAAAATTTAAATACAATGTTAATCGTTATCTTCTGTCTCTTCGATTCCTATTCTTTTATTGTTATAGATAAATAGATATGAACAGAC